GTAAACATGTCTGATAAGAACATTGAGCAAACTTTTGTTTTCAACTCAGCCAACTACCATAGTTTTTGAGCATAGAAGTGGAAGCATTTGTGGTTTGTGAGGTCCAGAAGAACAAAGTGTTTGCTATCAGTTTGCAACAGCCAGTGACAAACCTTTCACTGGTTATCTTGTCTTATAATGAGGAGCCTCCCAATCAAACTGGCCCTTCACTTGATATATTCACTAAACAGAATACCACTGCTTTCTAGGAGCTATCACTTTTTATCCAAAATTTGAACCTTCATTGCAGCTCTGATGAAAAAGTTATGTTTAAACTGTCATGAGCTGTTTCAATTCTTATAATACCAGCCTAACAGGATGCCTGTCATAGCTTGCACATGATGTAGCAGAGGGCGCTATCATTGCAACCTAGCCAATTCAAGCACTCTTGACCTCACTAAACGTGTAAGGTTATGTTTTTCTACGAAAATGAAGGACATGGGCAAGCAAAGCCACATTTAACAATCACGACACCAAAACATCAGGGAAGTGTAGAAGTAATTTGGGTTGTATACTGTAGATGGAGAAATAAACAAAAAAAATAAATAAATAAGCTGTTTGCTGACCTCTTCCTGTGCAGCTGCCTTGCTCAACAGTGGCACCACCACCATTGAGCGGCAGGTGTTTCACCTCGAGAATGATCTTTTTTGAGGTAGAGGCTCGTAAGACTTCAACATTCAAATGTAAGTTTATTTTTTGAAAAATTTACAGCCCTACTGCTTCCTGTAAATGCATGGTTACAGACTGTTAGGCCAGACCGATCAGCCTTATAATGTACCTAGCATACCTAGCAAAGTGGTTGCCTCTTCAAGTGCTATCTTCTAGGAAAAGTACTGTTATGCAGTACATACCTCTGCATTGTTTTCTCATTTACTAGTTGAACCTGTAGAAGCTTATTCTTTAGATGGCAATAAAAGTGTTAACAGGGCATCTTATACACCATAATTTGCAGTAAATTACATGAAATACCCTGATATGCATGGGTGAAACACTGCATCAGTGTTGGAAGAGCACAAAAATCAAAACCACCTGCATTACCAGGTGATAGGTCTGGTAATTAGCAGACACTCATTTTGTTTCTCAGGCCCACTGTCTTCAAACATTTCACTCTGTGACTCCACGTGTCTCTGCTGCTTTAGGAGGATGAGACATAAGGACTTTAGAGGCAATCATCAAAAATACATTTGCTGTTCACACTTTGGATAGTATGTTTATGACTTTATGTGGATACAATGTTTTTTTACCCACTTACGAGAAAGTTGCATTATAATCACCTCCCGAACCAGAATAAAACAAGAAGAGCTGTTTCTGTTTGGCAGTGAGAGTTGAACACAAACTACATATGAAATACTTTTTTTTTTTTTGTCCCAAAATGTGGGCCGAGCATGTCAGTTGGCTGCCTAATTTCATAAGATAAGACAAACCTTTATTCATCCCACTGTGAGGAAATTTGCACCATACCAATATATCATACTGATATATCGCAGTGGTTTATCGTACCAATATATTCCGCCTAAATATCTGGCAAGCATGTTGATGAAAGCAACCTTAATGTCAGCCAACGATAGAAAGGTTGTCAAATAAAAAGAGTCAATAGTTTAGAGGTACTTTGGGCTACAGTATCAGATAAGACACTGTACATTTTTTTCACTCTGCTTAATAAAAACTGACACAAATTGAAAATTAAATTATTCTTAAGACCAAGTTTTGACACATTTTGATCCTGTTTCTGTTTAGTAGATTTTTTATAGTGTTTAGGGCTACAACAAATGATTATTTCGATAGTCGACCAGCCATCGATCATTTAAACCACAAATAGGTTGATAAACTGCACAATTACTGGACTGCTCCGATTTATCCAACATCTCTTGAATTAACATTATCCTTTAAACACACAACTTCTGCCATACTTTTATCTTTAAACTAAACTAGTAAAATAACACAAAACAGGATTTAGTTTCAGAGTGTGGCGTAGTTACCCAAGTAACAGGATAAAAGTTTGCTCCACTGTTTGGTACTAAGAGAGGGGGTAGTAAAGCTGATTTAAAGGAGAGAAAAAGGTGAAGAGTTTTAGGAGAGGTTTTAAAGTGAAGGACTAATCATGTAAATAGGAGAGAAATCACAGGGTGTGGACTGTGAAGTGTAACAGCAGATGTTTGAAAACAGAGATGATTATTGTGTCTCCATCGAACCCTTGCTCATAACTGACATGCTTCAGTGTTGAAAATTGAAGGTGAAATCCTCCCTGACTTGAGGAGTATTAAGATGTGATGGTGTTGCATTTGTCATCGCTGTTTTGCTATGTTTGCTTTATCTGTGACTTTCGTGTCTCTGGGTAACCCTTAACAAAAGACGAAGATGTGAAACGGTTCACCCCTCAGGTTCTGGAAGTGGTGTTACCTCCACTCACAGCATGAAACTTGTTTTGTTATTGATTTTTTGGACAATTTCAACTAATTGATGCAAACCATATTTTACCCCCTGTGTTCTTATTGAACAAAAGTGTCAGTTTTTATATTTCTGAACCTACGACACATATTTTTCTCAAAGATCAGGGTTTACTGACATTTAAAAAATATTTCATATCAGGCTGTGCAGATTTCTTGGCTGTGACATGTTGCAACACGGGCTCAAATTTTTACTGCATTATTTGAAGTAGACTCTTGAATGTATGATGCCATGCCTTTGTAATCCCCTCCACACTAATGATACATAAGAGACAGGATGTTGGGGAAAATTGTCTATCTCAGGACAGCGGGGAATGATCCCAATTGGCTGAAGTAATTGGAAGTGTGGGTTTTGGTAAAGTCCTAAAAAAGCCTGAGATGATAAAATAAAACGATGAATGGCAGTGGTTTGGCAGAGATTTGGCGCAGTTACTGGCTGAGCTCTGGGATGGGAGCTATAATTACCCAGATGGATAGATACGTTTTATTTCTGGGCGATCTTTTCCCAACTCTCGAATGCCTTAATCGTGATGTCAGCATGGCCCTGTTTACCAAACCAGCCTTTGTGCGATGCCTCCTTGTACCGAAGAATACCAAAAAGCTGAGGCAAGAGAAGAGCTAATTTTAGTGTTAGTATGTTAGCGCTTTTCCCTGGTGCACACAGAGACAGCTTTTATTATACTTTAAAGTTGAAATTGGAGGAGATATCTCTCCCTTGCAGCTGAATTCAATTTAAAAAAACAGGCTAAACTTGCAGCACCTCAGTGGAGCATGTGTATCTTTGCTCCTGCAGCTTAAACCGAAGCTGTCTCCCTGTCTCTGAGTGCTGTATTGATTCACTTGGCACCCACTTATGTCCTATAATGGAACAGAGCTCATGTGCTGTCACTAGCATTCGCAGAGCTGCACGACCCTACCTATTAATTCCCAGACTTTAAAACACGACAAACAAGTCCAGCACTTGTGGGTATTTTTTTTCCCGAACATCGGGCTCTCTCACGGTCCTATTACTGGAGCTGGATGTTATCAAAAGATATCGTGTCAGAGAGATGTTTTTCGCGAGTATTATGATACAGTCAAATCTGGAGCTGCTCCCGAGCTGTGAAAGGCAGGCATATGGAGAAATGGTCTGTATCTGTGCCTCGGTAAACCAGAGCCAAGTCCCGAAATGACTCCTTCTTTTCTATTCGCAGCTGAGGCTAACTAAAGATTGGTATTTGTTTTTGGTGCATGGAAGCCTTCCAAGAAATGTGTGTGTGTGTGTGTATTTCTGTGTTTGCACTTTTGTTAGTGCATCCACGAGTGTGTACGTGCAGGCCAGTCAGTCTGCTTCTGGCTGTGTGGGACGCTCTGGGAGACAAGGATACAAGTGTGTGAGTGTGTGTGTTTCCAAGTGTTTATGTGTCGGAGTAGTGGGGCGTTTTGGGAAAGAGAAGGACTGAGTGAGTAGTTCCTCGGCTGGACTGTCCCTTTCTACGACTTGGTAACAAGAGGAAGAAGAGGAAGAAGAAGGAGGAAGAGGGAGAAGGAGTGTGCATGGTGAGGAGGAGGAGGAGAAAATAGGGAGAGAAGAAGAAGGAGGAAGGAAAGGGGAGAGGTTCAGGGGTGACAGGAGGATGGCTCCATGGCTGCTTTTTTCCTGCGCTGAAGCTCCACACTCCTCTCTCTCTCCTTTTTCTGATTTGCCTGATTCAGCTCTGAGCGAGTGAAACAGACAAGAGGAGTTTCAAGCCTGAGAAACAGAAAAATCTAGCCAATTTTCTGCGATTTTTTTTTGGAAAGCTGGGATTTTGGCTGTCTTGCACACAGATGTTGCTTGTCATTTGCTTGGGAAGCAGCATGTACAGGCAGAAAGATTACCTCCCGCTTACTATTATGACTAACGCGCCGTAAACTGAAATTGTAAAAACACCCCAAAAAATCTGTTTTTCTGTTATCGTTTACTTTTTGCCCCTCCTTTTCTCTCTCTTCCCCCTTGCCAGTTTCTCTCCCTCTTCCCTTTTTTTGCTTTTTCTTTTGTCTCACTCTTTCCCACCCTCTCCCCAAGCTCCTTTCCTTTTCTTTCGGGTGGTTTTGTTACTGTAGTTGCATGTTTGAGCGCTTTTTTTTTTCTTCTTTTTTTTTGATGGGCCACTGTGGACATGCCTGCCTGTTCCTCCTGCCAAGCACCGTAGGCCCTGCAGAGTAGAGAAAAGGCACATTGGGGAAACTTAACATAAAGACATTTGGTAAGTAATCATGCTACAAATGCGCTACGGACTTTCTCTGCTTATTTTCTTTGCTTTGTGGCGTTTCATATTCATCAGTGTGTCTGTATTTGTGATACTTCTGTGTTGTTAACTGTTAATCGTTAGCCGTGTTGGATAAATGGGCCTAAACTGAATGCTACCTGTTGGCTAGCCGTGGCTATCTGTTTGCATTTTGCGATATCATGAAATGCTAACGACACGCCACTTCCTCACCTCTCACTTCTGCACCTTTATTTAACCCCCCTCCTTTTTCTCCTGCACACACCTCCTCTGTTGCCGGGTAGATTTGGGTGAGCAGGGAGGGTAGCACCACTGGGTTTGGCTTGCTGGTGCTGCCGACACAATGCAATTGGTGGCCTTTGGCAGGTTTTGTCAATGCTCTCTGACTCACATGGTGGTACAGCCATAGAGGCGTCAGCCGGCAGGGTGCTTTGGACCCCGCTGACCTCCTTGTTCGGCCAAGCTCAAGGTGTCTTTCAGCATGCTGGCAAAGACCCACTGACATACTTAAAGCAACTTGGCAATAGCTTCAAAGTCAGACGTCTCATTTAAATTCAGGCAGAGGGAAGAGAAGGAGGGAGACAGAGCCTGAGATGGAGTCTTATTTTTGTCCACATTTTTGCCACATTTAAACTTTTTGTGTATTAATAGTTTGACTGATGGTGATTTAGACCCAGATTTAAAAGGTTGTAATAATTTTATTGTTTTCTAAACATGGCTTTTTTTTTAAAAAGTGCTCAAAATTTTTCAGGAGTAGGTGGTTCTTTTGCTGACTCATTTCTCCTTTTTCCTTTTGTAGCTGAATAACACCAAAATGTGTGGTAGCATTTTAATTATTGTATTTAAAAACGACACTTTTTGAGAAAAATAATTCTGTGCATTTATTTAAAATCTCTTCCGTGACTGAAAACTGTATTTTGAGTTCAACTTATTTAGAGCATAAAAAAAGCCTTTAGACCTCAATAGCAATGAATCCTGCATGACTCTGACTGTTTTTCCTGCACAGTCAGGCAACTTTGTGTCATCATGAAGTCCAAGTAAAATTTCTGCAGATATCAATAAGGCAAAAACTCCCACGCACTGTTTTAAAGGAGCAATTTTCCTGCAATTTATTTTGAGCATTTAATATCACTTACGTCTCATTTAAGCTCAGCCACACATTTCTCCAAATGTCACTAGAATTTTTCCGCTTATCATTCTTACTAACTACTCTTGTTGTAAGTATAGAGGAGGGTTGGCAAAATAATAAATTGTAAAATTGTAGAGCATGTACTGAGCTGTTTGAGTTGCAGAGATGCAGTGCATTGTGGGATCCCAGTGGGATCAGGAGTTGAGTAAGCAGAGTTCAGAGCATCTTTATGAACTGGGGACTTTTTAATTTAACACAGGATAAATTATTTTTCTCTTTTTGTGTTCAAGCTAAATAGGTGAACGTGTCATTTTAGATTATATATAATTCTTTGTAATGGCAGACTATAGCGTATGTCTCATATAGAAAATAAATAGGGCAAGGTTTTGCATCAATTTCCATAAATAATGGAGGTTAACTTGTATTAAAAGTTATAAAATAGTTGGAGCAAACTTAATTTTTTACTTAAATTTGAACTTCTGTAAGTACAAAAAAATGAATCTGAAGAAAGTCCAAAATAGATCAGACCATTTATTAATGAAAACCACAAACCTTTATTATTATACTTTACTATTATTTCAGAGTTTAATTCAATGTAAGTTAAATTAAAAATAAACATTTCTGCATTTATTAAAATAACTCAGAGACTGTATGGACAAGACCAGTCACATTTTTAAATATTAAAACAACGGCCCACCAATTAAAAACAGCACTAATAGACTATTTCTGTGTGTCTAAATTTTTATGTCATATAAGTCAGCTACTGTAACTGACCACAACTTTCTGCAGAAAAACATCGATGATTTGGAAATGTGAAATACTTTTCTTTTTTTTACGTCTATGAGCAGAGCAAGTGTGCATTATTCTACAGCATTGTGTGTTTTTCATAACCAGGTATTTTATCTATTTATTTTTTATCCTATAGATTACAAATCAAAATAATTTGGGATTGTTACACATTTTGTTTCATTGTATTTATCTCAAACTTTTCCTTATTACTTTTTTTTTCGTCGTTGTCCATGTACAGCACGCCCTTACTCCAAACACATCATGTTGGGATTTTGTGACTAAACTGCAAAATTTGATAATGTAGACACATCCCCTGTAGTGGTTTTCCTTTTACAAGTCATTATAATCAGATTAGTAATTATAGTGCAACATCTTCTAGATTACCAAATGAAAGTTTGCAGACAGCTGCTTTGAATTTATTATTACTATTATTATTTTGGTTGAGCAACAGTTTACAATGCATAAAGTGATGCTGTCCTGGTTTAATGTTATTCAGGCAGAAAAACTACTTTCAGCTGATAAAAAAGTCACGATATATGTCACAAAAAGTACCAAGCAAAGTCAGCAGGTATGTGATTTATGTATTTGCACAGCTCATTATATTAAATTAAATCTATGATTTAACTTAAAAAGAATTAAATGTCACCCCACAGTTGAAAAGTTGACAGTGGTTACACAAAAGTACAGTATATGATAAATACAAACCTTGAAACCAGCACAAGGCTCATCTTCAACACATGCAACAGCTTTTCATGGTGTTTGATATATCATCTGTCCTTCTCAAGAGGGGGAGGGTGTTACTGAGCATGTGCAGGATGAGTGCCATCACTCCAGCATGTTTCTGATTGGAGGAAAATAACTTTCTTGGAAACGTCCTCAGTCTCTTCTACTGGAAGTCTGTTTTTTCTTCTTCTTTCATTTTGGATTGAAGATGTTTGTTTCTTCAGCTCTGTCCTGCTGATGGATGTGTGAAATCATCTGCTCACAGCCACAAACCCGTAGATCCGAACTTGTGTTTACTCACACCACAAGCTTGTATCTACAGGTCTGTGTCTGTGCAGCTCCAACGACCAGGAGGGGCGTCTCAGTTCGTCTCAAGACTGCTATAAGCTGTTCCTTTGTCAAAAAGATCAGCTGTTCGGTTTATTCTGATCCAGTTGATGAGTTTCAGGCAAGACTCCCCCTGACCTGTTATCACAGTACACAGCGTGGCTGTGGCTCAGTGGTAGAGTCAGTCAGGGGTTCGATCCCAGGGCTGCCAAGATGTCAGAGTGTCCTTGGGCAAGACACTTGACCCCCTCTGCTCTGGTGGTGTGCGAATAGAATAAGTTAAAAACTTATGATTGCTTTACATAGCAGCCTCTACCACCAGTGTGTGAATGGGTGAATGTCTTGTGAAATGTAAAAGTGATTTGAGTGGTCAGAAGACTAGAGACGACACCATATAAATGCAGTCCATTTACTGTTTTTGGGTCTTCCAGTCTAATGCTAAAGTTCTCTCTGAGAATAAAGTTAGAGTAAGTTTTGTTGTGAGAGCATGCTGAGCTGCTGCTAATGATGTCAGGTAAGTTTCTATAGTATCACCAGGGATCTGGCCCCCTATGTAAAAGATAAAAAATAAGAAGACAAAATGATGAGGGGAAAAAGTCGTGATTTTCATGCTATCATTGGCCTTCATTTTATTGAGCAAAACTTGTTAAGTTTGATCATTGTGCAAAATTAATTTTAAAAAACTAATCTTCAATTCTGGCACATCAGCTCCATGTCGTATCAGGATTCCTAATACCATTACCAAGACTCTAAATCCAGTATGAAGAAGGACAGGCTAATATGCGGCATGTGTCCCTGTTTGTCCTCAGCTCAACTTTATTCAACTTTATTCAACTTTAAATCTGCGACAGTCATCAATTTAAAACTTTTTCACTCACAACTTCTCTTGCAATAGAACTAGATGTACTTTGTAATTTGGTTTTAATTGTTAAAAATGTTTATTTTTTTATCAAACAAACAGACCCGTCTTTATCATTGTAACAGTTTCCTGTTAAAAAAAAGTGTGGCCCCTTGCAGCACTTTTTTAGTGTTGGAGAAGATGGGGTGCTGGGGTTAGTCATTGTGATGGGGTGTCAGAAGGAGCTGTGAGCTGAGCTGCTGCTAATATGTGCTCCAATTCTTTCCCAACATTATTTTTTACTGGAGCAAAATTTGCAATTCATCTTTTCAAAAAGACAGACCACGTAACAGTAGCATGGAAAAAGCAAGAATTTTGCATGTTAAAAAGTTGTTTTTTTTAAACAGTTTCTAACAGTTTGTCAGGCAGGAAAGCAAACAGCGTTGCTGGTTTAGAGATGTTACCACAAATATAGTTTTTTATTTCAACGATGCTCATTTAAAAGGTTAGATTTAGTGTCAAACTGTCTACAGAGGTCTGGCCTGAGATTGTTTTATATTTGGGTTTGCAGGGGCTGGGTGCTGAGTAGCTATGTAATATCTTAAGTGTTATTGGTCAGATTTCTTTGGTATTCAGCAATCTAATAGTTTCTATTCAGGGATTTTCTATTCTATTTATTCCTCAAAGGCTGGTATTTCCAAAAGAAACAGATTAAGTGATTTAAAGTTGTAAAAAAATAAAATAAATCAAAACAGAAGCAACCTGCTTGACAGCCTTGTTTGTTTTTGTAGGGACCTAGGGCCTGTGAGCTGAGCTACCATGAACTTTTGCTCAGTTTGTTGCTCTGTAAACTTCCATACTTTCAAAGACTTAAAACCTTTATTTGGTTAAAATAATATATCTTAAAATGGACAAGACTGAAAAAGTGACAAAAAGTGGCATGCAGGCCATAAACTACAGACGACCTCTTTGATTCCTTTCTGTCTGGTTTGTAAGAGTGCCAGATCTATCTAAAGAGTAAAACAATTCTAAAGTAAATCTGTTGCTCTCCTCGATTGAGATTGTTTTATTACCCACCTCCACCTCTAAGTTGAGGAAAGTTTGGTTGCAGGCTACTCCACTCATTTCCACTTATCTTCCAAAGAAGAGTGGGCTTGAAGGGGTTAAAAGAAGGCCAATGAGAGTCAATCAGAAAAGGTATGAATACTGTATAATTAGAGCCTCCATTTCCATGTGCTCATGTTTGCCTGGAGAAAACTCAGGAGGAGACAGAACTATTTCAGTTTGCAGTCAATTAGCAGCAGCTTGGCCTTTCTAGTGTTAATGAAGTAGACGAGGTCCTAATTAGCAATGCATACAAACGGCAGTTGTAATGCTTGTTTTCTCATTACCGCCCACATGTTAACATTTTCAAAAATTGAGCAACTGCAGCTTTTTTTGTAAGGGTTGAAATCTGATCAACATTTGGGGGGAGGTTAGGAGCTCATTTGTGTGTTTTGGGGTCAGTGACGCAGAGAGTTTGGAGTGAGAAATGTTTATCTGCTTTGTGTATAGAGACTGTATCCAAGATATGAAGCGGCGCTGCCAGAGCAGCTCTTCAAACGCTCTAATCACTTTGAGATGTGATAGTAAACGCATCATGTCAAAATTTTACCATCTTTTCACCCTGAGTGTTCAAATATCTGCACCCCCTCTGCGTTTTTACTCTGAAGCTGAGTCCAGGTTTGCTTGCTCCCAGGTTGAGGTAGTAGGTTGTATAGTTGGTAATTACACCACCGGGAGATAACTGTACAACCTCCTAGCTTTCCCTGAGGTACGCATGGCACTCTGCACAGCTGGATCAATACAGTCCAATGTTGGTACAGTAAAACCAAATCAAGAGAAAACAGCCTGTTAGCGGGAGATACAGTCCGCCAAACATGGTCAATAACGGTCCGGGCTGTTTGCAGATGGAGCAGGAGGAGAGAAGAGCTCTGGTTTCTACTTTTGGGTTGGTGACGCCATTTGTTTGTCCGTGTGTGTTACTGCATTAGGGACGGATTTTTGGGGTATTTGATACTAATGCTAATGTTTATGGTTTGTTGTAAGACCATTACGGGTGATAACATAAAAAATTTTCCTTTTTTTTTCCCGAAGAGAAACTTTAAGTGTTAAACCTCAAATTTTCTTATTTTTCCAAATAAAAATAGATCCCCCAAAAATGACATTTGTTTATTTGGTGGTAAAAAAAAACCATTAGCTATTATAAAATTAGACTAATAATCACCTGCTTGATATATTGTCTGAAACATCGCAGATAATCCTCTAAACTCTTAAAATCCTAAGAAACTTATTTTCCTATTCAAGAAAACCTCCAATATTCACAACTGAGAGCAGGTTTGATAGTTTTTGCTCAAAAACTGATTTTAGGGAAATTGTTGAAAAAAATGCACCTTTTTCATGTTTTCTTATTCTCCTTATTGTTATCATAACTCTATCATAATCTTGAACTTATTTTGGCACATATAGACACCATAAAAAAGGAGAACAAAAATGTTATCATTGGTCTAAAAACACCCACATTTCAAGGACAAGCCTTGTCTAACACAAAAGCCACAACTCTAAAAAGCCAGGATTTTACTCTTTCTGGTAGTTTATTTATTTGCTTACTTCATGTTTGATTTCTACTTGAGCGAATTTTCTCTGAGGTTTGTTTTTCATCCACCAAAAACAGAAACAGACAGCCAGTAAAACAGCAGCACCCCTGCTGTCAAAAAATCAACTCAAATGAGATGAAAAGTTGAAATAAAAGTTACCAAAACATAGTTCAAGTTTTTACATTTTGTAAACTGTTTTTACAAAATGCATAAAATTAACGCACAACTTTTTTGACGGAAATACTGCCACTCTGCTCCAAATAAATCCTCAGAGGAATGTGTGCCTTCAGAAAATGAGAGGTAGAGAGAAAGGAAAGTGCTGCAGACGCTCATGTTGGAGAGCAATTATTACCACACAGTTCGATTAATTTCTGGAATTGTGCTTCAAGCTTTTGAGTTGGAAAGTTTCTTTCTTTCACACCATGTATTTTTGGTACTACTGACATAATGACCGAAAACCACTGAGACCTTCACACACACTTTAGGGAGGTTTCAGTGCAGTTCAAGCTTTTCTTGTCTTTTTTTTTTCTTTTTTCTTTTTTTTGCTGTTGAGCTGGGAGACGTTTCAAAATAGTTGTGACATTGTAGTAAATTTGGTGAAGGCTTTTTCATCCGGCAGCAACAGGTGAAGGGATGCATGATGCCACATAATTAGAGAGATTTTTGCCAAAGAGGAGTGTGAACCACTTTCCAAAGAGAGATACAAGTGTCTGAATTTCTCTGCAGAGCCAAATTAGAGCTAATAGAGATAATTGCAAAATATTTTGCAGCTTATGTGCACAGTTGTAATAATTTAGAGCAATATAATGTCATTGGATTTGTTTGTTTTTTTTCTTTTTTATGTTAAGACCAAAATTTTATTGTGCAGAAAGGTGAGCGCTGTCTTTTTATTTATTATAGAGTGCAAAGTTTTCACAGGAGCAGATTGAGCACTAGTGTTAAATTATCTGTTGGTTTGTGCAGGAGTCACAGTTCGAAAAAAGTTTCATGTAACTTCAAGTGACTTAACTTCACCGACAAGGTAACCCCACCCCCAATACTGCTGGTTTATTTTTTAAAGTGGCACTTTGATTTCTTTTCTGGATTATTTCTTCCTATGCATGTCTGTCTGCATTTGTCCCTTTTTTGACCTGTTTACTGTTTACATGTCTGAGCTGCCAGCAGAGCTGTACATTCTGCTTTTGTTGATTTGAAGTCAGGTGTTCACGTGTGGCAGACAGGTAGAGATCATAAGCGCTGTGACAGGACAGTCATGTGAGAGCCGTGTGTTTGAAACTTCAGCTTTATTTCCATCCTGAGGTGACGTTTCATTATTGCAGCAACCTCATTAAGGCTGACGCTCGTCGTGGAAAAAGTCCAGCTGTTGTTTGTGCGGTGACAGCTGGCGGTTGTAAAGGATATCAGACACAAAAGGGGAAAAAATCGTTTGAGATTTGAACACCGAGCCTCATTCCAGTCAAGTTTACAGGCGGTAAAATCAGTTGTCAACATGAACAATAGTTGTCATAATATTTTCAATAAGCAACGCACGGACCACGTGGAAACAGCTGCTGTCAAAATATCCGACGTATGAAATATTGTGACACTCTGGGAGGAAAAGGGAAAAAACAATATCACAGAAAATTCTTCAAATGGTTTAAATTCATCATACTAACCCTGAGGACATTATTCACTTCTTTTCACTTTGAAAGGAAATCTCTGCACAAACTTTAATGAGAAGAGTTTTATTCAAACTGACGTCAGTGACAGCCTTTAAAGACCTTCCCCCTTTTCTTTGGTGTTTTACTGCTTTAAACAACCTTCGCCTCCCCTCCTTCCCTCAGTTTTATGACAATATAGTATGTGCTCTTCATTTTTGGCTGTAAACCCTCTGCCTTACCTGGGCTAATAAAGCTGCCTCTGCTGGATTTACCAGCCCTCGCATGGTGCAAACTGAGGCCTCCTCCTCATACAGGACAGCGCTGAGGTAATAGGTAGAGAGGAGAGCAAAAGACTGCCCCCTGTTGGTTACCTCCGTGAAGTATCCAACTGTGGGAGGTTCGGGTTAGGTGACTTTGCAAATGCAGGAAAAATGAAAGTTAAATGATTGTGTTGTATGTATAGCTGCTCTAGAGTAAGATGCATGTTTGTGTGTTTTTTTGGTGCATTCATACAAACCAGAGCAGAGGTGTAGAGCATCCAGTCTTGTGGATTCATCCTTCGTGATAGCCCGTCTTTTTTCTCCTCTCCTCTTCTTAATTTCTTCTCTTTGGGTATGAATACCGTTTCTTTGAATATGTGTTTAAAAAGACTTTTGAGTTGATTTTTTGATAAATGGACCATGGTCTCAGTGAGCACACATGAATGACCGTGCTGTGCCTTTACTTTTATTACTTCTTCTTATACTGCAGTGATGTTTCCACTAAATATTTGAGCATGTTTCAGTCTTAATACTTAATTTTAGAGGAGTTGTCTCTACATGTTTTATAAACTGTATTTTCTGTTACACTGCTGTAAGGTTGAGAGCATTTTTTTAATATATTTGTAGAAACATAATCCAAATGAAAACAGAAACAATTCATGGATGTTGAACCCTTTCGGAAATTTAACTTTTCAGTAGATTTCCCTGCATTTTGGTATGCTCTTAAATCGTGTTTCAACAAGAACTGTCCTCTCTTAATTTCACTGGATACTGAAATTTGATCTTGCACCTTTTTTGCACTTTTGCCCAGATTAAACAGGACAGAGAAAATGTAGGGAGGAGAGAAAAAGGGAAAGACATGTGGCAAGGGAGTTGAACCGGCAACCTTTTACGCTGAGGGCAGTAGCCTCAGTGTATGGGGGGGCTCTCAAATTATACAACTAGGTTCTCTGAATCTTTTAATGATATTTTAAAGAGGGTGATGAAATCCACATTCTATTACAATCACACTGAGGAACTTTTTTCTCTGGACTATTTGCTCACACAGTCTCTCACATGGTGCTGAACTTCTCCCCATTTTGCTCCTGAGAGACTTACCCTCAGGCAAGGCTTAGCTCGAGGCAAAGCAGTCCTCAAGACATGTGAGTCAGCTCTCGTTAGCTTGTTGCTTTTGGTTTGCTTTCATATACTGGGGGAGATAACAGGGGTCTCCCTCTATATGTGAGGTCAGTTACTATCCAGGACCAAGAGTCTTTCTTACATACGCATCGTAACACTGACGAATCTGAGCTATGGAAGTATGGCCAACTGACTGACCACACTGGCCAATACACTCAGTGGATAAATGATTGGACAGGACTAACATCTCCTCTCAACAACAGGAAAAAAGTGTGTGTAGTAGAAAACAGACGATCTTCATTGCCCTTAAATTTGTGGTTTATTACTACAGGAATCCAGTTTTCCTCCTTTAACATCCCCAATTTCTAATTCAGGGATAATGATAGCCCTATGTAAGCAATATCAGCCATCCATACAACTACAAATACATGCTAAATAAGGTTTGCACTGCATGCTTAAGCATTTCTGATTATCGCCTCTGTCCAGTCTTTTCATTTATTGTGTTTAACCACAGTCGCCGTTTTCGTCGATGTGCAATGGTGACTGGTTTGTGGTAGAAAATCAGTTTTGAGACATTTCTGTTACTTCGTCTATTCTGGCGAGGGGTAGACCGATTGTCAGACTTAGCCGATGTTTGCCATCAGTATTGGGTTTTAACTTCACAGCTGGCTGATAAAATAAAATTATTGAAAGTAGCTAAATCAGCACTTTGAAAAGTGCGCTGATTCAGTCCCACTGAGGGTTTGTCTCTTCCTCTAGGTCTTTTTTCTCTCAACACTCTGCCTCACTAAATGTCCCACCCACAACACTGCCTGATTGGCTAGAAGTCACATGACTGTGGCATAACTGTTACTGGTAAACTGGGAACTTATCTGTATGATTTTGAAAGTTTCAGTTTTGTTGAAACTTTTACTATATAAAAAAAAAGTTTTTCATTTTTACCATCAGTAAATAACGGTTACAAATATTAGTCTCATTAGCCACTAAAAATCAGTAGTTTTTTTTTTCACTCTTGTACCAAACGACAGGAAATCCTGTTTTCATCAGTCTAACTTATTCTAAACCTTCAGTTTCATCATCACCGTTGCTGTAGTGATGACCCCGTTTGACCTCTTCAGCGACTTTCCTCCTCATCCCATCAGTCAGACATTACAGCTGTCAATCAATCACTGGCTAACAGAACTGCCTTCCAGTGAGTGTGTCCTGTGTGTCACCCTGCTCTGCTAAATGCACACATGCACCATCCACACTGCACCATGCGTGTGTGTGTGTCTGTGCGTGTGAGAGAGTGTGAGAGTGTGTGTGTGTCGTCTACCTCTCAGACTCTGCAGACTCGGTGCTGTGAGCTTATATTGAGCTGTGCTGCTGCTGCTGTTTTCTCACATGCGTGGGCTCCAGCGTGACAGATCTGGGTCTCTGCTGATGAACTACTTGGTTGTAGCTAGGGCTGATTCCCAACCATACCAGCACGTCACAAATACACAAAGAGAGCAACATAGTATTGATAAGCCGATATCGATGAGGCGATGTCTACCTGGGTGCAGCGTTCAGCGTTTGATGGAGTGTAGCACCAAAGCTAATTAGTGTATAACCTTTTTGAGCACACTGCTTGGTGCAAAGTTTGGATATTCCTGCGCCTACTTATCTGTGTATGTGTGTGTGTGTGCAAACTCAGCATGCACATGTGTGTGTGAGCCTTTGTCTGCCAGTATGCTAATATTAGCGCCTCGCCAAAGGCTGGCTCTATCTGACACAAAGCAGGTGATAAATGAGGATGACTGCACTCCACTTGTGTGTGTGTGTGTGTGTGTGTGTGTGTGTGTGTGTGTGTGTGTGTGTGTGTGTATGCTGGTGCATGTGGGAGATTTGAAAACTGGTAGCGTCAGTGATTTTTCTCCAAAAGGAGAGGTGAGAGCGTGCTGTAGATCCAGATGCACGGTTTTCTGCAGCTGTATAGAGATGGAAAAGCGGCACAATGCGCCGTCTGCCAGCCAGCCAGCAGTCAAAGAGGATTGGAGGTAAGCCGGCTGCAGACACAGTCGGTCGATCAGTCAGTCAGAGAGGGAGGGATAACACAAGAAAAGCAAGAGGGCAGTGTGGTCTCAGGGATTTTTCCTTTTTTCCTTTCCCTGTCTCCCCGGGCCTCGTCGCTGATTTGAGCCTTCAGCCGGCTGCATGTCGTTGCTCTCCTTTTTTCTGCTTCATCTGTCCCTCCCCCCATCATCTCTCGTTTTTCTCTCCTTCTCCTTTCTCTCTCTCTCTCTCTCTCTCTCTCTCTCTCTCGCTCCCAGCCAGTGGAGATTAAATGTAGCCTCTATAAGCCAAAGCACATCATGTAGCAATGTTTCTATGGTCCCTTCTCTCTCTCACTCTCTCCTTCCTTTCCTGAAGTGACTGATGTTTGCAAAAAAGAGAGAATAGAAAGAAAAAGAGAGGACTGCTAAAGTGGATTTTTGCTTTTGCATGCAGAAGAAAGCAGTGGATTTGTTTGAAGGGGTGGAAATCAGACAACGGCAAGGTGGAAAAAACAACGAAAAGGAGGACTACCTTCTCTCTGCACCCCCTCCTCCCCCCCTCCTCCCCCTCCTTCTCCTCCCCCCTCACCTCTCTCTTGTCTGATACTGAGGAAAAGTGGGCCTCTGGCAGTAAGCGATTACAGCTGTGAGGCAAATTAATGGATGATATTTCTCCCCCTCCTCTTTTCTCCTCCCGCCGATCAACACGGTGAAAGAAGGAAGAAAGAGCCAGAGGTGGGGAGAATGAAAAAGAAAGACTGGGAGAAAGAGGTGGAGTACTAATATCGGACGAAGGAGAGGAGGAGGGGAGGAAGGAGGGGAGGAAGGGGGGAGTTATGGTTTTTTCCTGTCTTCCCTCCTTTCCAGCTCTGCATGTGATTGAAAGAGCGAGAAAACAATGCGAGGGGGAAAAAGGGCGAGGAAAAAGAAAAAGAGAAAGCGGAGCCGAGACGAGAGATCAGCAGGCGGGTTCCTTTAACTTGGATTTGTGTGTGTGTGTGTGTGTGTGTGCGTTTTTCCCTTGCTAACCTGCCTTGAAGCTGCAGATTTGGATAAAAAAAAGTAAGTAAAGTGCAAGAAAAATCTGAATAGAGTGATAGTGTTTTCTGTAAGCAATGCAGGCATGTGTGTGTACGCAAGGAAGCATGAGTGTGTAAGTGCAAGTGTGTGCACCCCCTCCTCACTCCCTACCTTTACCCCCTCTTTCTCCCCTCGGTAAGGCAGCATACTGGTATCTGCTTCACTGGCACTATGGCCCTGCGCGGCTGCAAAGACTGATTCTTGATGCTTGCTTTTTTCTTTTTTTTTTTTCTTTTCTCGTCGCTCGCTCTTTGTGTCCCTCACTCACTTTCTCTCACCTGCTTCTTTTACCTGTATGGACTAACCTTTGTGTATCACTTCCACTCAGCGTTTGGTTTTCAGGGAAGCGTCTCGCGACTTGCGTCCTCTCCAGATTGCTCGCTCTTGCTCTACTTGCGTGAGTGTGTGTGTGTGTGTGTGAGTGTGTGTGAGAGCGAGAGAGAGAGAGAGAGAGAGAGAGAGCAAAGGGAAAGATAGAGAGAAAGTGTGTGCACATGGTTCATTCCGGCTCGGTCCTACCACCCATCCTTATGCCTCTCTTTCTTGTCTCTGTCCGTTGCTGCTTTCCCATTTATCTCGCCGACCTTAAGACCGACAGACGGATGGAACCCTCGCTCCCGTCGCTTTTTTCTGTGACCAATCAAAACTTCCTCCAGTGAACATTTCTGGAATCTTGTTGGCGTGCTGTAAGTTTAAAAATCTGAGATGTCTCTTCTCTCTTTCTCCTCTTTTCTTCTCCTACCGAGCAGGAAGCGAGATAGAAGAAAAACAACGAGCGAAAGGGGGCATCCTGGATCCTGGAGGGGAGGGTGAGTCGATACCGAGCAAATACTCTTCCTCCTCACTTCCCTCGGCTCCCCATCTGTTTCCTAAGCTTCGGACCACCATGGTGGCATGAAGGAGCCGCAGCAGAGCTTTGTTATCTGGCTCGTCTTTTCTCTGTCCAGAGGATTCGGAGGACCACACTGAGCGGGGATTTGCACTGGTAATGATTGAGCATGCACTGGATGATTTTTAAAACAGTGACAGCCGGGAGAGCATCATGTGAGAGGGGGCTGTTTGACTCTGTGCGGTCCCACAGCTTCGGATTTCGATGCTGTAATTGATGTATACGCTCCGGGTTTTTAGTCTCATGCATCCTGACAATGATTAGCAATCAGCAGCTGATTTTGATTTTCCCTGAAGCGGGAGATCTTCAGACACAGCAGCAGGCTCTGTACCTGATAGCAGGAGGCATTTTTCAAAGTGCTGTATTGTTCAGTTGAGGTGGGGGAGGGGGAGAGGGAGAAAAAGGGAAGAGAGAGAGAGAGAGTTGGCTTTGGTGGGGGGGGGGGGGGGGGGGTTGGCCAGTGTTGTGTCTGGCTGAGGTTTGCACTTGTTGTATGTTCACGACTACATGTGGGGGCAGAGGAGGTTGCAGAGCATGCATGTAAACGAGGAGTGATGCGAAGCTGTATGTGTGCTGCAGGGAGAGCTCGCTCGGCATGCACGAGATGCTCAGACGCTCTGAGTCCTCATTTGACTTATGGACGAGTTCTCATGGAGGCAGGCTTATGCAAGAGAAGTCAAAAAAGCAGCAGCTCGCGTGAGGAAGTGGAGGAGTGAAGATGTATCTGTCTCCGTCCCTGAGACCCTAACTTGTGACGTTATGTTCTTCATGTCCACGGGTTAGGCTCTCGGGAGCTGAGAGGGATGCACGGCCAGCGCTATCTCTCGCACGTTCCTGCCTCTAACAATGGCGATCAGAGCAGGGTGCGGGGAAGGCCGTGGCGCAGCAAGGCTAAGGCGTTCGCCGCACGCTCGCCGTGTCACACATTTCGGTTTGGCTCACACCCTTCTGTTCGATGCGTGTCCCCTGGGCTAATCTGTTTTCTGTCTACTGCGCAGTGGGCACAAGATGAAAAATAGACAGGCTGCCGAAATCTCCAAACTGAGACGGATGGCGGCGTAGATGTGGTGGCATGTACGATATTTGGATGATTCTGTGACACAGAACGGGATAAGCTGATGTGTGTGGACGGATGACATGATGCTAACAGCAAGGGCCTGATTAAATCAAAGTCAATGATAATTATTATCTTTTCATATTCAGCTACATTTTAAAGGGAAACGCAGAACAGGCTGCGTTTTTAAACTTTAATGTGATGCTATTTGTGTTGCGCCCTTATTCCGATGTCAATGCACTGAGAATATCTGTAATTCTGCATTTCAGCTTAGCGCTCTAAATCTGCAACAAAACCACCTGAGTAGAGGGAATTTCTAATGCAATGATTTCATATCTAAGTTTTACGCGTCTACGCTAATTATTTAGCATCCCGTTTTGATAAAAGTTTAGACAGGTGCGGGTTTAAACCAGGTGAAATACTAGTTTAAGACATGCTAGCATCCTAAGCTACTAGCCAGCCTTTGCTAATAGGTGTTGCTGCTTCCTCTGCTAGAGAAATGGCTAAACAGCTGGTTAGCATCAGGAGCTAATGGGCGCAATGCTAATGCTGCTTTGGTAGCAATAGCCTCTTCACACATCAGTGGATTCTGCTAAGTAAAGAAGCATCCGTCAGAGTGTTAGAGCTCTTTGTGTCTATAGCGGACCTGTCTGTGTCTGCTGCCATGTGTGTGTGCGCGTGTGTACGTTAGTGTGTGTGTGCTTTTATGACTTGAGAGCAGCACAGAGTAATGTTGAGAGCGTGACCATGACAGCTCTGTACATTATGTGCTTGACCTCAGTGAACCCCCGACGATGTTCAGCCTCACTCGCTCATGCTAACACACATGTAGAGGTGGCAGACGGACACACACACTCACACACACACACCAAATTATGTCCACTGAGAATAATCTACTGCCAGCCAACCATGATTCATCTGTGACGGGTTTCTGAAAATGCAACTGTTGATCTGATTCAAACAAAGTGGCAGCAGCACACTTCTCTCGGTTATATAAGCACAATTTCCAAACACTGAGTTCGGATTTTGGAGGACGATCCAGTCAGTCACAGCAGCGAATAAGCACTTTAAGGAAGTTTTACCCTCGACACTTGTTATTAAAGGGCTTATTTCGCCACTCAAAGCTGTGTTGAACCTTGCACTTCATTCTATAGAGAGTTCTATCCATCTCTTGGGTGTTGCATTTGCAGCATATTTCATACCAGAAGCTATTCAATAATGTGATTCATTGGTATTGGACTTCACACTGTAGCTAATATCAGGTTTTAATGGGGCGTAGTAAGAGTATTGACTGTCCTTAAGGATGCCTGCCTGTGTTTAAATGGATGCTAAACCCTGTGCACTTGTGGAGCTCACATCTAAGGGGGGATGGGTGGGGGGGTTCATGCTAAGGTGCTAGACGTGTCTGCTGCAAGGCCCTACAAGGATGCATACGAAACATGTTCTTGTTTGGTTTAAAATGCCTCATGTTATCTCAGAGATAAATTTGTGATAATTTTTTTAAATATTGAGTATATTTTTATGTGTGACGAAAAGGTGACATGGCACACAAGCCTCACAACGAACACAGGTACTGACAAAAGCACAGAGCGGTTAAGGTGAACAGGAGGATTTAATAAGGCTGTGGAAGTTCAAGTTTGATAATAAAACAACTAATTAAGTAAATTTTATATGGAGCTGTTTTTAAAAAGGCAGTGGTATACTCAAATTAGTTGCTGTTTCTGTTTTTCAAGCCCACGTCTCACATTTTTGCAACCCTGACGCTTCATCGATAGATCAATGCTCCCCTCTCTTCAAATCAGGAGTATCACAGATTGCCTCACACATGACCTTGAAAACTATTTTTATCACTTCCCCTCCTCTAATGCAGTTAATCCAAGCAACATCAGCCGATACCTTCTGCTGATTTGTTCCTTTTTTAAGTCCCTTTATTCACTGTAACTGTATGCTGTGTCCGTTCTGATGTTAACAAACTAATATGGATTATAACTTTGAATCTTTCTGCACAGCTAATCTACAGCTTTGGCATCACTCTTATGTAACACTTCTTCCATTTCCTGCGATATCTCCGCACCAGAATCTCCTTTTGTTTGTTAGCTTGGTGTACAAACACTAACCTGGAGCAGCTTTTTTTTGTGTTGACGGTAAAGCAGGAGAAAAGGGGCTGCAGGCTTGCTCTCCATTGTTCGGCTGCTGCGCTCACTGTCTGTACACTGTGTCCCCATGGCAGAGGCAGACGTGGAGTAGAGACAGACAGACATACAGACAGACAGAGCGACTGGTGGGCACACGCCTGCCTCGATAAGCTGCTACGATGTCGACTGAATACTGTTAAGAAAAGGAAAATGTAAAAAAAGGGGGGGGTATTCGCTCACCAGTGTCACCTGTAAGCTGAATTATGATCCGACTGTGACACACTTACAAAAACTAAGGTTATCCGATTATTCGATGAACTGGTGACTACTTGGGGAGCTGCTTCAGGTGTGTCTGTCAGTAAAACCTGTGATGCCATTAGTTCCAGAAACATCAGGTCTTACAGATTTTCAAGTCGAGGTTTCGGTTTCAGTTGAAGCCTCGCATTTTCTGTGCAAATGCAGCTTTTATGGCGTAATACGTTGCACATTCCTGCATCAATTGATCCCGTTTGCCAGCAAGCAGCTGCTGATTGATGATATCCTTGTTAAGATGAACTCTTTTTTTAGGGGGGTACTCTGGAAGTTACAGGAAATAGGAATCTGGTGGAGTGTGTGTTAGCACAGGTGTGGAGGCGATGTTGCCGCAGGTTGACGCCCAATGTGCCAAGGGAGAACGGTCGCAACACACGGGCAGTAAAGGGAAAATGATCAATCAGGGAGATTGATCACGTTAGGGAAAGGCGTCGAATGAAGCGTGAGAGGTCTGGCGATGAGTTGAGATGTGTTTGTGGCCGCAGTGATGCCTTCACAGTCACCATCCTGCAGTTTTTTTCTGCCACTCCCTTCCACACACACAGACTGGCTCAGCTGCAGGCGGGAGCAGCGCACTCATCAATAACTCGAGCTGATCAGTGTGTGTGTGTGTGTGTTTGTCTGAGTGTGTGTGTGCTTCCTACAGTATCCGTCAGCATGTCTGTAATGTCTTATTTGTGTGTGTGTGTGTGTGTGTGTGTGTTTAGCAGCACTGCAGAGGGGTTCACCACTCGCTCCTTCCAAGTCTGTCGGTGAAACAAGATGGCGTCGCGGCTCCACGTGGACCCTCCCTCCCTACTGTGCCGCCTAATGCCCACTTTAGTGATAGCACCAGAAAGCTAGCAGAGGTCACATTTGGAATTGTTGCACACCTGGGGCATATTTATTCCCCACATAGCTGAAATTGCTGAGGCACTTCTTGGTGCTGGAGCTCGGCCGACTTTGGGAGATTTAGGATTTGGGGCCGATCCAGAGCTTTCATTGTTTTTCTTGGTTGCTTTTTCTCTCAGTCTGTGTATCGGCTGCCAGACTGTATGCTGTTTTGACTGCGATGTGGGCGGTTTAAAATGTTCTGGTGGGGTGGACGAGTATGTTTTCAGCATGATTTGTCTGCCAGCCTGCTTGCGTGGAAGTGTGTGTGCGTGTCCTCCCTGACTCAGGCTAAAGCTAGGGCCAGTTTAAAGGAGCTTGGGGATTGTGCAGCCACACCACAGTGGCAGATTAATCTGACTACACACTAACCTCATTAATCTGAGAGAGAGTAATGTCAGCAACAATGTGTCTGCAGTCACAATCAATCACACACACACACACAAACACACACACACGTATTTAAAGCTGTGTCCTTTGTCTGCAGCTCAGAAAGACACAGGTAATGATGGCTGGAGTGTCATTACTGTCCTGCTCCAGGTCATGCTGCATTCACTGACATGCTGGAAATCCCCAGAGATGAATCAACATTTAATTCTTTGCTGCCACGTCAACTGCAGAGCTGCATTTGTGGATGTTACAAGGGAGACAGTTACCTCCTGCTAGCAGCAAGCTAGTGGCTGCAGATGTGATCAGGTACTGTGTTTCTGCACGAATGGGTGTGATTTGTGGGTTTAAAGTTTCTTTGACTCTTCTGGTACTCTTGCATCTTTATATCTGTGTTCTTTTTAATGATGTGATGGGCACAGCATACAACAAATGGATCAGATGGAGACGTCATAAAATCAGTTTTCTCAAGGAGCAGAAATACATGTAGCATGTTTTGCAAAAAGTCAGAACAGTGCCAGATTTGTGGTTACAGCATAATGATGACCCTTTTTTTTGTGGAAAACATTCCCCTCCTCTGACTCTTCAGTTCAGAGCTGCAACAATAAGTCAGTACACCAGTGGAAACCAGCTTTATGACTTTGACATATGAATGTTTCTTTTCAAGCACAATTGCAAACACTTCACCTAGATCTATGCATTCAATAACTTGCATTTTTGTCGTTAATTTCTGTCAATTTCCAAACAAAACACAAAAGTTCAGTACATACTGCTGGTTGCAGTTTGCAAAATAATATTCTGGATTGCAGATGGTATAAGATTCAGCTTGATCACAGGAAATGCAAGTTATTGTTCAACTAGAATACAACTTATGTGCATGTTTTAATGTTGTTTAGAACAGTTGAGAAACGTCATCCTTAACATTCTGTCGATTTAGCATCACATCAGTCTTGCTTTCTTGCTCCTTACACAGATTCCACAAGCAGGTTCCTCAAACAAGCTTAATTTAGCATCAGCACCCTCTCTTCATCATAAATATTCATGTTGTTTGTATTTAAAAAAAGCTGCTGTGATATATTTTGTCTGTCAGTTTTCTCCTTATATTAATCAAAATTTTAAAATGACTGTTTTTGTGTTTTGAATGAAAGAATGTTTAACATTTTGTTTTCATCAACACTATTTCAGTAAATGTTCGTCCTGAGAATTTTTTCTTTGTTTTAAGCTCCTTAAATATGAATGTCATCTGGTTTCTGTCTTTTATAATAGTGAATGAAAATATTTGAGTTGTGCATAAATACCTCACATATTGTGACATCAGTTTGCAACAGAAAGATTCATTTTTGCAGCCCTGATTTACAGCTGTTTGTGGATGCTGGTATGAGATTTTTAGCAGAGCAAATAAAGCAGAATGCACCTTTAAAAGTTTGTGTAAAGATTTGAGAATAACTGTGGTGTGTGATGTACTGTGATTGATTAAATGCTGCATTGTTTTTTACTGTTAATTTTATTTTGTTTTTATGAATGCTTTCCTTACATGAATCTTGATGGTTGAAATGCTAGTGTAAGACCACTATGGCCTCTTTTTTCCCTCTGCAAAATAACTGGGAGGAAGAAGCATGGATGCGAGAGCAGCACAGCAAATCTTCAGAGGTCTGGGACTGAAATAGAGCTGTCTGTATCTAAATAAAGCCCTGATACTGTCATTTCACATGGTTCTTGATTCTTTCTTTCTTTCTGTTGTGTGTATTAATAGCAGCTCTGAATACGTCGTTGGATACTTTCTGAACTGATTTGTCATGTGACATCTTTTTTTTTTTTTTTTTTTTCTGATCTCTGAAGATATTTTTGCACCTTTTTTAAGTCTTGAATCTGTGTCAGACAGATTACTCTGATCTGTTGTGTGATTTTTTTTTTTTTTTTGGTTTGTTTCTGCAGAGCTGCAGAGACATATTACAACATCCTCTCTGCAGACCACAAAGGCACAGGACAGCACATGGACCAAAATAAAAAGCTTAAAAAAGAGCGTTTGCAGCTGCTCCACTGTTGTCACTGTGCATGTTTTCATATGATCTGAACTTGGACGAGTTTATGCATGGCTATCTATGAAATGGGTCACCATACCACAGTAAGACACTACAGTCTATGTTTGCCATGGTAACTGAGCCAATTAAAATACACTTGTGCAAATGCTTTGCTTACGGCTCTTTTAACCTTACACCCTTTTTCTTTTTGCCATATTTTGGGAAATATAATTGCAGAAGAGGAGCTGTAATGCACTGCTCATGTACTGTACATACAGTATTTGGCTCATGGTGATCCAGATAATACAGAGCTTTGTCTTTCTCTCTCTCCTACAGCTTATGAGACCAGGCCAGGACATGTCGAGGAATGGTCCGTGGGTGTGAGATGGATATGACACCCACTCTGAAGCAAAATCCAAGTGTCCGCACCCATGCAAACACTCACCTGAGTGGTATATCCGATATCTTGACCAGGATTCACTTACACTCACATACTGTTTTACAGTTGAAGTGAGATTTTACAGTCAGTGTGTCTCCAAAAGCTTTTATGAGTAAATAGTTCAACTGATTTTTGTATTTAAATGTATTTTATGTGAATAAAATGTTTATAAAAAATACCTTCTCGTCATTTTTCATGATATGCACAAGTGTTTTACATCCACATTTATGTAGCACTATTCAGAAAGCCTCCTAAAATCAGAAGTACATTAAGTGTTAGTAGTTAGCTAAGCTCCTGCAGTGGGATATTTCAATGCTAATGCTAACATTTTAGTGTGTTACGCTATGACTCCATGCTAACTCTTTCACACTTTTCTTAATCTAGAAATACTTATAATCTTAGCATTTACTCCTCTGAAGTGCACAAAGGTAGCTCCAACATGCTCAGTGTTCAGTGGGTTTCTAGGTTTGTAAGTGTGACGCTTTTTGATAGCTTAGATGTTAGGTACACGCCATGCTAACACGTCTGATGTGTCTGAGCGCTAAATGTGAACACTGCGACATACTGCCCTTCAACTAAGATTTAAGTCAAGGCCAGAGAAACTTTCCCTGCAGGCACTGACTATTGTAAGTGATATGCCTGGTATTTTAAAGGTTATTTGAATACCTGTGAATATAATTCCTCATAATAGCAGACTGTATGCTAACATCGTGGCACATATTCTCTGTACTTGCAATCCAACAATTCAGCATAATTAGCCTGAGTGCTTGCACAGCATGTAGTCCCTTTATATCACAATAACATCAATCATGATGGCAAAAATTCTAGCGGTCAGAAAAAACAGAGTCTAGCCATTACTTTATGACAAAATGCAGTATAACAGCAGGTAACAGCAACATTTACCATCATATATTTTTGAGCGTTAACCACATGCGAACAGTACCAACATTATTCATTAGCTGTACACTCCCTGTGAACTTTTGGTCTTTGAGGACATACCATAACATGCTCACACACAGTGCAAAGTAAGGAAGCGTTCAATAACTGATCTTGGATAAAACCTTCATGGCATCATTTTATTGGTTCATGTTTTAAGGAGGCGGTGCCCCTCGACTGGTATATATGCATACATATGTCTATACAGCTGAAAGGCTTTGCGATGACAGATTATGTTATAATACATTCTGAGTTAACAGAGGACCTAGGTATAGGTCTGTACATTTTATCTATTTACACTTACTATATATCAGTCATTTTCATGGATCTTAGCATTATTTTCTTTTTATGTCTCGATGATAATGCTTTTTTCCCCCTCAATATTAATTTACAGGAGATCTCGAAAACAAGAAAACAGACTGGTCACGATGATTGACTGAGTTGTCCTGTGCTATCATTTCCCAAACTAATGAGACAAGTTCAGACTATTTCTTTTTGTATGTTTCAAATCATTGTCAGGAGAAAGTAAGTCCACAGAAGGAAATTTAATGTAACTGACAAGTTCATCTGAAGTAGAATCTTATATTTAGCATATAAACAGAGTCCTGAGAGGGAAAAGCCTGATGCTTCAACAGGAGGATTGTTTGAGTTGTGTGATACATCTTTAAAATATCTAATGGTGCAGATCAGAGAGTTACCACTGATAAATGCTGTAGCCTAAAGATGTTATTTGATTTCTATAAATCTATGTTCTGTAAATGTTTATGTTTATTTTAGATTCTGTCTTATCATGTTTGAACTTTTTATGTGTGTTTTACAGATTTTTAAAGTCCTCTATCTTAATTTTTTACAGTTTTTTTAATTGCATCGGACTGCTTTTGCAACTTTAGGGATTCATATTAAGATCGATCGATTAGTTGGGATCCCCGGAAAACAGCAGAAATTAACTCTTTATGTGACAAAACTCAGTAAACTAAATGTATGGTTGCATTGCTGCCAAGGTTGATCATTTTCTCTGCAGGATATGACTGTGCGCTATCCCTGCAGCCAGCTGACACTCAACATTTTGGATCAATAGAGTCTCAACCCCACTCTTGACACGTGCTGTGAAACTGCAGATTATTAATCCGGGACATTCATACCAGGAATTTTTCTGCCATGAGGTGTCAACTTTTTGTGGTGTCCATTAAACCTCATCCTGCTTCCACTTCCTGAGTGATTCAGCACTTTTCCAAGAACTACTTTCGACACCCTCTGAGTTTTTGTCCGGACTTGTTGCAGCCAGATTTGGTTCTACCTTGGATAAAGTGATAATGACAGGCAGAGTATTGGCTCATGCAGCAACACTCATGCTGACTCAGCAAGACGGCTAATAGCTGCAGCGAAGGGAGATTTTCTGACAGTGCATGTAATTCAATAAGAACAGATGTAGCAGATCATGAGAGACATTTATGCCACTGTAGAAACTGGCCAAACTGTATTTTTTTTGTTTTTTTGGGGGGCTAATGATGGAGTTTGATAATCACAGACAGAAGCTCTCGGAAACAAAGAAGTGTGATAAGTTTATACTCTCATTTTCTTAAAGGTATTTCCTTGTCTTTCAAATTAAAATAAAACGTATACTTTATTTTTGCCAGTAAAAATAACCTTACATAAATCTGCCCCACGTTTTACTCTGCAAATAATTCTTCTTTTCTCTGACACTCGATTTGGATTTTAAACAATAAATGAGGCGTCTTTTACAGCACAAAGCATCATGGGACCCAGACGTTTCAATGCAAAATAAAAAATCATTCAGTTTATTTGTTTCATGAGCGGAAATTTTACTTTCTTGGACAGCTGTTTGAATGATTTTTTATTGGGATTATTTTTATGACATTCTCGAGCAATAGTCGAACGTCTTTAAGACGCTGCTGCGGGTGGAACTGTAAGACCAAATAAAGTCCTGAAAAAAGGTCGAGTTGTTTGTCTTTGTTCTGTGTTTTATGAAATTATTTTTGTGTTTAAAATAGAGAAAGAAGAGTTTTAATATTTATGCTGCCTTCCCTGTGGGATTTCACAACAAGACAAGAAAAGCCTCATGAATGATTTATCCAATCAAAAAGGGGAAAATGGAGCAGCAGCATTGATGAAAATCAGGAGCCGGAGAGGTTTTGATTTCACAGGAAGGTTTATGAACGGATGAATATTATTTAGGTTAAAAACTGTTCACAAAGAAGGAGATGTTCACAGTTTTTTACTGAGTTAGACTGATAAAAAAGGCACTTTTTGTCTGCCGTAAATGCATATCTAGTATATTTTTTATGACTTAAACACTTCAGTCAAACGTTGTGATTTTTTAACTGTATCGTGACCTTCAGAATTGTTTTTAAGATACTATCAAGCTCTTTGCTTATGTAAAACATGTAAAAGAGTGGATACAATCTTCGCTCTCAGCTTTTTCATAGCAGGCACTCACTCGTGCTCTCCAGATAAGCTCTTATCACACTTTTACGGACATCTAAAGCACAGATTTTCCTTTTCTGTTACATAAGAGAAAACTTCCCAGAGGTTCGGCTTCAATCGATTTCACATCACAAACTGGAACGATGACACAAAAAGCTCATCAGATGTATTTCTGATGCTTGTGATCATTTCAGAAATGATGCATCTGAGGATAATAACTGCGATCATTGGTCGAAAAAGACGTCTTCATGACAAATTCTTCCTAACCCTGACTGAGGGGACAGAGATCCAGCAGCACATAGAGACAACACGCAGAGCACAAAGCTGCATCTCTATCTCATCCGACATGATTTTTTCCCCTCTGCTTGTGGCTGTGTCTCTCTCTCTCTCTCTCCCTCTCTCTCTCTCTCTATCCCTCCATCTCCCGCTCGCTCTGCCTGTAAATCCACGCTGAGATTTGGCTCGCACACACTGGAGCTCTCTGCAGCCCAAATGTAGGCCAAAAGCCATCTGAGGACAGAGCTCGGGGAGAGGCAGTGGGTGAGACGGAGCAAGGAGGGGAGGCCAGTGAGGAGCACTGAGTGAAAGGAGCTGATAGAGAGCATGTAAAAGAAGATGTATTTATATCTTTTTCACCGTTAAATCCTATTTATGGATTCATTTGTGGCTTTTTTTCAACCCATCTCCGAGGTTATATAACACATCTGAAGGTCTTTGTTGTTTAAAGGCTGTCATCAACACGACGTGAAGGCCTGAAACTGAGATCCTTTAACATCTTAATCTCATGCCACATTTAATGATCTTATTCTGGCCCTGAAACAACATTATCGACGCTCTCATAGCAGCGTCACCTCAGGAATATTAACCCTAAAGCTCTGGAGAAGCTCTGTCTCTTTAAATAACACTTAAAGAGGAATATCAGATGAGATATACCAGTGTATTTGTGTAAATTTAGATGAATTTGTCTGCCATTTAAAAATCTACAACCTGAATTCAAGCTCAGAAGTCTGTCACTTAAGGGTTAAATAAAAATAAAGGTGGGGTTACATGCTTTCTTTTTTTTAACTGAGGCTAAAGTTAAACCGTCCTCCTCCTCTTCTGTAACAACTTAAGAGAAAAAAAGGATCAAGTTGTAAACAGTTAGCAAGCAATATAACATTAATATTCTTGAACCTCGACACCTATCTGTATAACTATAGGAATATATATTATATATTTATATATAATATAATATATAATATATTTTTATATTTAAAAAACCTTTTTGATTCAAGCAAGAATCTTTCCATAAAAAGGATATGTCCTGTAATTTTCTTTATTAGCTAGTATGTATTTTCACATGCTTTGATTTAACAAGCATATCATACCTCAACATGTATAACTCTTCTTTGTGCATTTAAAGGGATTAACTCCTCAAAGTTTCACAAGCAAGAAATACATGATTGCTCCTTTTTTAATTCTTTTTGCCATTTCCCCCTCATAATCCCCCACAGAGTTTAATATCAGGCTTTTATCGAAAATCGTCGTGCAGTAAAACAGAAAAATTTGACCTCCGTATTCAGATTTCACACAAATATTGCTTATTTGAAACTAAGTGATATGTTTTGATATATTCTTTATAATTAGAAAATATTTGTTAGCCTATATGTTTCAGGCGTCCTTAAACACACCAGTCAAGCACTCACTGTTCGTGCCATTTTTAAAAAGAGCTGACAGAGCCTGTTTTTTCTTTGAAAGGAAACTTTCAATGTTGAAAACAATACTTTAATTTTCTCTTATAAATGTTTTATTGAAACTATCCTCTGTTATTGTGCTGTGTGCTGGTTTGGATTTTCTAAAATCACACAGACAAACAAATCTGGAAAAAAGAAAAGATGGAGGAGCAGCAAGCTAATGTGTACCGGCTCTACAGAGTCTGTTTGGAGGTTCAGGTACCCCTAAGCTAAAACAAAAAAACTCCATTTGTCCCCCTGGTTAAATAACATTCAGTAGCAGTAGTCGAAATGTGAAGACTAAGAGCGACATTTTATTGAGTTATTTAGTTATCTTAGAGTTGTTGATTTTGAACCATGACTGATGATGTTTTGTCTTTTCTGCTCTGCTTTTGGCAGCCCTCAGTGTTGTTTCATGTTATCTTTTAGAGTTTCTGTCTGTGAATCTGTAGATTAATCTGTATATAGATGAGGTTACCATGTTACATATCCACACAATCAGGGTCATTTTAACATTAGTTCTGTTGTATCGTGACAGTAAACAGTATGCTGTTTTTATGGCTTCAGTATGGGTGAATGGCCCAAAGACAAATTTCCCACTTGTTGATTTTATCTTCTTTTGAATTGAATTATTTTAAATCCTATTTTTCTTTCTAAGACCAGGACCCAGACAGTGGATCACAACAGTCCAGTTATAAGGCTCTGCACAGTGTCTGCAGAAGATTAAATGCAGACGCCACAGCAGATTTTAAAATGCTGCATACAGAGCACTGCATAGTTCAGGGTCATAATGCAATAATAATCTGCTGGTAGCATACAGACTATGTAGACAGTCCAGGTGGTCTGGGACAGGTCTGCCTCCGTCCCCCAGAGTAAGCACCGAACATGAAGCAGCAGAGTTCAGGACAATGCTCCAAATATCTGGAACAAACCCCACAAATCCTGAGGTCTGTTAAACTCTTAACTTCCTTTTAATGAAGGTGAGGACTTGTGTGTTTCCTTTAACTGAATGATTTCATCAAATGATTGTGGTACTCTTTTCACTTTTAAAGATTGCACTGCTTATATCATAAAACTGCCTGATCGTATTTGTGTTTTTGCTTTTTGAATTGTTTCTTCTCTTTATTGTGTCCTGCTGTTTGTCGGGATATTTCGGAGCCTTGTGTACACACTTTAAATTGCCTCTGCCATTGAAATAAACTTGCCTGCTTCCTTTAGGATCTTCAGGCAGAACTCTTTAAGAAATGAGAAGTTTAAATGCACGTAAGAAACTCCTTTTTTGTTTTTATCGTAAAACTTTTATCTTCATGCATCACAAACAAAAAACAGTGATTTGTTTGCCTCTCATAAACATTTCCTGTTTTTCCTCCACTCAGAGCTGCATTCTTTAACTTTACTTCGGTCCTCTGAAATATGTTTTTCTGCAGAAGAAGAATTTGTATTCACTGCTTTTCATTCTCCGGGCCGCTGACTCCACTTTGGTGACTGTATTCATGAATTTTGAGAATTCATCTGCTCAGAGATCCTTTAGATTAAGACAAAAAGAAAACATGATGGGACTGTCTTTTAAATTGAACAAACTGACTTCAGATGACGGCAAACACTGCTCTGTTTTTGTTCACTTTTGGACAACTAAAGTCACTTTTACAAACTGATTAATTTCTGACTGAACACAACATGATTACTGAGATTTGTTTGGCAAATATTTGCCAATGTGAATTAGAATAACTGATTGAGTTTGGCTAATACACACTCAGCTTCGGTTTTATTTAAAGTAAATATCATCACTTTGGAGCTTTTTTTTTTTTTGATCATTTTGAACTGTGTGAAACTTTTCTGCAAACAACAATTTTTCAATAAAAACTTTTCTTAAAAAAATTGTTAAATGTTTTCTTTGTATTTCTACCCTCATATTTTTGATAAGAATTATGAATAAAACATTTATTTTCAGTTTAATTTTCTATTGCTCAATTCACTCCCAAAATCACAACCTGGAAAATGTTTTATTATTTTTCTCCGGTATAAAATGTCTGAATGGATCGTTTATAAACCACAATCAAATAACAGGAAATAACTTACCAATAATGAGACCTCGACTGTTTGTTATGAGTGATAAAATTCTGCCATTTGGGCAAGAAAAACTCAGAATTTTGATTCAAGACCTGTTTCTCAAGTCAGTGAATTTGACCTGTAATTTTCCTTCAGCCTTTTGGCAGTTTTTTTTTTTCCCTGTGCAATTCAGGTGCTATTTTGAGGCATGTAATATCAGAAAAATACACATTAATCTGGAAATTATCATATCAATTGTATTAAGGCCCCAAAGACTTTCTTTCACCACTGGAGATAAAGACAAAAACACTTCAAAGTTTAACTTTTGGAGGGTCTGTGTGTCCTCATCTTGCCTTTAATTTAACTTCATAACCCCGAAAGAGCAGCTTTGATATGACCATTTGTCAATTTAGATTATTACTGAAGAAAAAGAAAAGGTCTGTAATGATTCTTATTACAGGGATTTTTAAACTGCAAGTAGAGCACATCATATTTGTGTAAAGCTAAGTGCTGTTTAAAGTCAGCTTATACTTCATACATATTTTTTAAAATCTGTCTTTTTAGAAATGTAAGTAATTCTTCTCTGGTTTTCCATTACATACATGTTTTTCAAGGTGCTCACTTCATTCAACTGCAAAGCACTGCCATGATAAGTTTGAAGGAAAGATTCAGTGCAGTTTAGATTGAACAGAGTAACGAGAAACACTTTGGCTATCTACACAATCTTC